AGGGAAAGAATATTAATTTGACAAAGAGAGGGAGACACTTGTGATTCTGCTAACATGCTTAATGCTTCTAATTATGCCTGAAGTGTTTTTCCTGGTCAGGTCTAACATGGAAGCATTCAAGGACAATTATATAAAGCAGCTTGCTGATCACATGGCTGAGACAGCGTTACTGTAAGAGGAGAGAGACTTTTGTAAAAGCAATTTGCGATGAATAAAAAGCAACCTGTAAACATTAGGCTTTTTCTAGCCACCTCCTTAGTAGCCTGAAAAGGAAACACACTGACGTGAAAGACCGTGCTCATGTAATTCTCAGGGATGGAAATAAAAACAAGACAGTTGGTACTAGGAGGTCTCTGCTGCAGTCCTGTGTCTTTGGCATATTAATCGAAATCTCTTCAGAGGAGCAGAGCAAGAAGTAGCTGTTTACGGTGGAGGGATTAGACACAGCAGTCTCAATTGCTTTCTTGATTGTGTCTTTTCCATTTGTATGCAGATCAGGGGCCTGGCTCCACTGTCAGAGGCAGGTCTGAAGCAATGCTGTCCTTGGTGGCAGGGAGCTGTGGGCTGCAGGGGACACTTTCTTTTGCATATGCTGTAAAAGCCAGGTTCTCTTCTGCAGTGATGGTTTGTTTCCCTGTAGCACTTCAAAGAAGAAATGGGGTTTTCAAGCTGGTGTCCTGGATGACTGCCAGCTCGGATGTGTGACATAGGCTTTCAGGCACTCAGGCCCTTCTTCCTGTCTGAGACAGAAGCAGCAAATTTCAAAGCTAAAGACAAGCTGATAACAATTAGTCAGAGCTTAGTTCAATCCGTATCAGTTAGGCCACAACAAAATAAAAAGGGATCGAGGATGAAGCCTGTTGACTGAGGACACCGAAGGCTTTGCCTCGGGTCTCAATGTTAAGCATTGAAATAGCTAGTGGGCTCTTCCCTTGAAGAGCTACTAAAGGATGGACAGTATCAATAGCTACGCAATGCAGTACTGTAGCACCAATTATTTCCAACTTCTGGTAATGAGGGA